TCAAGAGGTCTATTTGTCAAAAAACAATTCTTTCTTTGAGGGTAAAAGAGTCAGAAAAAGATTCATTCTGGGTCTATCTGCAACAATAGAACTACAGATAGAGGTGCAAACACATCGGATACGGCAATTAACGCTTAAAAAAGTTTCACAACATGTCATATAGTCAACGAAAGGGAGTATAAGTTTTGGAGATCTATCAAGTCTGCATTGCTAAAATCATAGAAGGATGGGTAAACGTGGAGGAAACCTGTTCTCTATTCTCAATGTTCATCTACACATTCCATTTTTCTTCCTTGTACTCTTTTGTCTGCAAAAAGTTGATTCAAGATGCATTTTGTTTAACTTTGGGGACTCAAACTCTGACACCGGGGCGCTAACTGCTGGCTTAGGGCTCTATCTTGGGCCTCCAGCTGGCCGTCTGTTCTTCAATAGGACCACTGGGCGCTTCTGTGATGGAAGGCTGTATGTTGACTTCATTTGTATGTATAGTTAACTTGTTGCCTTATATCCTTATCATTGTTCAATTGCGAAATTCATTAGAGTAATCTTTTTCTGAATTTTTAGGTGAAAACTTAAAGATCAATTTTCTTAGCCCATATTTGGAGTCATCAGGCTCAAATTTCACACATGGAGTGAATTTTGCAGTAGCTGGTGCAGCCACTGAATCAAATGCAGTTGTTTTTCCTTTGTCTACTCAAGTAGGCCAATTCCTTCACTTTAGAAACCGTACACGAGAACTGCGACCACTAGGTATGGCCAATCATTTTACACCTCAGGAACTCATTTAAAGATTTTACGGTATACTGCCGATGCATCCCCTGTACAATGGAGGCCTACGCACTTATACCTTATAAATTATTAGCATCGACACCCCCTTGAAACTCAGACAACACTGTTGACCCTCAATTTAGAGGGCGATTTAGTATTTTCTAAGTTGAATTGAGGGTAGAAGTTAATCTATCGTGACATGATTCCAAGTGACATCTTAGCCAGACAGGAGATTGTATGGATTTCAAGGGGTGTGAATGCTAATAAATAGCTCAGGGGTTAAATGGCACAACCTCGTAGTAGAAGCCTAGATGGGGTTATCTACAATTAACCCTGGATTTTAAAATATCATTGTTGTATTTCTGAGTTTTTTCTTTATTTGATATGAAACTGCTCTTCTAATACTCACAGGAAAAGGATCCATGATCAGCGAAAAGGAGTTCCGAAGTGCTGTATATTCGTTTGACATGGGCCAAAATGACATCAATATTGCCTTCACTGCAAACTTGAGCTACCCGCAAGTCATTGATAGAATACCATCCATCCTCTCAAGAATCAGAGACTCTATTGAGGCAAGTGATGTTTTATGTAGACAGTAATA